TCAGATTTCGATGGCCAAGAGCTGATTGAAAAGGTACGGGCTATGGATAAAGAGCGAAGATCTGCTGGAGGGACAAGCTGTGGAAAGAAATACCGATCGTAGTCGGGATGATCTTAGGCTATTTTATGATAACATGAAACTTGCTTTACCTAATTCATGTCCTAAGAGACGAAATATTTGGTCACTTTAGACCAACATTTATGCCACTTTATTTTGATGTTCTAAGCTTTGGAGTAGGTGGTATTGCACAGAGGGGCTCAGGAGGTTCATGGTTCGTAGGGCTCCGTTGGCTCGTGGGAAAGAATGGGACGCGAAATTGCTTGTTTTTCTGAGGCTAGCCAGGGCTGCCAGGGTATTGCCTACCGTGTCGAGTCGTCAAAATTGGCTGCCGCAGGTGTAAGAGACGAAATAATCCAGACGCTCAACGGTGGTTGAGACAAGCATTTGCGCTGCTTTATTGTAGTACTTAAGGTTTGAGGGATAATTTCCGTTACCCAGTAGAAAAACAGTACAGTACAAAAGTATCGAGATCTCCAAAGACAAAGTTGAGGCCTCGCGGGATATCAGAACATGACTGGCTACCCTGTTTATAGTAGCGGGTTATGCGGCCGAGATTAAATCAACAGCGGAGCTGCAGAATTGACACTGTAACCCTCTCAACGTATTAGCGGTGATGCACAGTCCATGAAGAAGATCCAGCCCCTGGATTGGCGTGGGCTCGATAAAGGCCTGTCCATACCCATGCTCAGCCCATGTCACTCTGGCGCTATTTTTATATGAGAGACTACAATCATTTCCATCTTTTTTTCTTTGCGGTCTATGTGTGTGGGCGGGGATCGTCTCCTCTCTCTTGTTTGGGGATCGTCATCCACTTCCCGGTTTAAACTGGACTGGACTTGATTGTTTACCTGGAGGTACCTTTCCTTACTATGAGCACTGTAGAACTACACTATTCTAGTACCTAAAGTTGGCATCTCGACTTGCTTGTCCTTGACTTCCTTGTCTTGTTGCTCGAATCTCACTCGTTTTTCCTTGCTTCCTTCCCTCTCTCTCATCATTTTATCATCCCCTTCTTTCCCTTTTTCCTTCCTTGTCTCTACTGCATCATCTTCATCTTTTCAATCTTCTTGTCTCAAACCCTCTAACCTTAAAACTAATCCCCCTTTTGTTTTGAAGGCGGCCACTTCCTTCGAACCTCCGCGCTTAATTTTGGCTAATATTTCCGTCATCACGGCCCCGATCGCTGCTTACTATTACCGCCATCTGGGATTGCAAAAATCCTGTTCTCCTCTTTTGGACCTTTCTCAATGGGAGTATAAGAGTGTCTGCTATATCTTACGCATTACATTGTCCAACCCCAGTCTATCGTTGATCGATTGAATCCCTTTGACCTTTACCACGGCACATCGAAATAAACTTCAAATCTTCACTTCCTACCTTCGCTTTTTGTCCCTATTTCGATTTCGATCCGGCCCCAATTGCTTTGCTAGTACGACTTCTTTTGGCCCGGTAATTTGGTAATCGAGTCTTACCCCGGCAATCTTGAAACAGCTCCTCCTGCCCCGACATTCAGTGCCCATAACAACGGTTACCGCCAAATCGACGAAGCAAAGCCATTCGCGGCGTACCCGAACAAAACAGGAGGGAAATCCGCCTTGGACATTTCGACGACACCAGAAGCCAGAATCCCGAACAAACTCGATCGAACATAACCCCTAATATCCATAACAACAAAAAACACTAGAAGAGCACCTTGGAGAGTCAACAGAGTTCTCATCTCGTCCAATAACTTTCCACTCCTCCGAGCGATGCGACAATGATTCGCACTCTTGATATCGGCAATCATCTTCCCAGCCCCGACTCTCCGCCAGGGATGACTACTTCAAAGAGCTCAAAGACATCCTCTTTCCAATCTTTAGACAGCGGCGATGATGGCAGTGTCATGGCCGACATTGGCCATTTTGAAGAGATCGGTCTCGACGATGATAATGTCACCCTCAAAAGTCCATCGAAAGTCGACGTTCGTCCCAGTCTGAACAAGGCCCCCTCGAGTCGATCCCTGGTGGCTGGCAAGACCGCTTCCAAAGCTCGCCCACCCTTCCCAACACTCGAGACCAACGTATACACTTCGAACCCCCGAAGCACCAATTTGAGCGCATTGACAGAGCCTCTTTCTGCCACGCGGCCCAAGAACCTGACTAGTCCATCTTCAGCCTCTCTCACTTTCACTCGACGACGAAGCCCGAGCCCTGCTTATTCGCTCAACCCGAGAGATCCGAGAGAACCCAGTTTGACTGCAAAGCCCCGTCGAAGCAGCTGGCAGACTGGCCGGGAACGTAAGTCATTTACCGACCTTGAGCGAGAATGCGACGAAGATGACGGTGATGATATTCCCGATGGCATGTTCCTCGACAACGTACCGCTGTCTCCTCGACCTATGCAGGAGCGAACACCTAGCAGACCATCATCCGTATCACCCTCCCCCAATCGATCCAAGGAGCGTGTCCGAAGTGTCGGAAATGGAACGCCTGCTGTTGCCCAAGCCTCAGGCTCTCTCCGTTCGCCCACCTGGAAAACCGATGACAAACCTCGCAGCCCTTCCCAAACACGAGCGCATAGTTGGAATGCAGCACTGGCAGAATTGAACGCCGAAGCCAAGACTCTGACCGAAAAGCTCGAAGAGCACGCCGACGAGGAAATAGAAAAGCAAGCCAAGCGGCCCGCAAACCAACGCCCCAATACTTGGAATGCATCTCGACGATCTGCCGACATGTATGAGAAGAAGCAGCGCGTCAAGTCAACCCCAGAACTACCACCTCTTCGCAAGACAAATATCATGATTGACCCCCTTCCTGTTTCCAAGGAGAAGGAAGCTGTCTTGAGCCGCACGCGTCCCTCATGGCTGCCGCCTAAGGATCCTGCCGAGGAGCGTCGACATTTGAAGGAATATCAGAAGATGATGGCAGCCAGTCAAAAGGCCGACGAGCGACGCGAAGCTTCTCGCAGGGCCAAGATCGAAGGACGAGACAGCACAGCCGACAATTTGATGCAGATTTGGGAGAGGGACGTCATTCCACGATGGAGCGAAGCCATCCGGGAGCGCAGGACGAGAGAACTTTGGTGGAAGGGTATCGCACCCCGCAGTCGAGGTGTTATTTGGGGTCGAGCGATCGGCAACGAATTGGGTCTCTCGGAGACTTCGTTCAAAGCGGCTCTTGCAAGAGCCCAGGAGGTCGAGGCCAGAGTCAATGACGACAAGGGCAACGCGGACGACGCCAGGAAGGCAAAGTGGTTCCAAGAGATACGAAAAGATGCTGCCCAGAACACATGGCAGGACTTGAGGATTTTCGAGGTCGAGGGACCATTGCACCAAAGTCTCGTTGACGTGCTGAGCGCGTATGCCATGTACAGAAGCGACATTGGTTATGTTCGGGGTTGCAACGTAAGTATATCATCAGCCCCATTGTGTTACTCGAGATGCTAACCAAGTCCGTCAGACAATTGCTGCCTTGCTACTCCTCAACCTACCTGATGCCGCATCCGCCTTCGTCGCACTTGCCAACGTGCTCAACCGCCCATTGCCTCTTTCGTTTTACACTGGCGATCCAGGCGCACAAGCTTCTGCATTTAATCTTGTGATGCAGACCCTGTCGCTCAAGTCTGCACCTCTTCACGCGCACCTCACCAAAAAGATCCCAACTGCCGAACTCGAACAATGTTTGGCAGGAATCTTGACAGCCATATTCACCCAGCATCTGGCTATTGACGAAGCAGCCCGGTTATGGGACGTTTATGTCTTTGAAGGCGATGCTCTACTAATTCGAGCCACTGTCGCTCTACTTCTCAGTCGAGAGATGACGCTACTCGGAGCCAAAACGGCCGATGAAGTCAAGACGATCCTCAACGAAAGAAATGCCAAGGTCTCTGCAGCCAGAGTTGCTGGCGAGGTAGGCGCCGAGGACAAATTCATGATGTCAGTGCGCGAGGCAGGAAAAGCCTAGGTGTTTTGTCGTGGGCTACCTTTTTGGAAAAGCTTTTGGGTGCTTGCTTGGATTTCAAGCCGTACATTTGGTATAGATGGGGAACATATCTACTACTACATTTCACGGCGTTTCTTACATGGACTGCGGATCTTTTGATGGAATGTGGGGGGTACCTATGTTTATGAAATATTTTGGAGGGACTATAGAGCGGTGTTTTATCTTCACAATTGCCGTTGCCCAGATTTCGGGTGGCGAGATTTAAATCAATATACTTTTGATGATGATGATATGACATACAATTTGTTCTGTGAAATGGATTGAAACAATCAGGACCATCGGTAATTGAAACTTAATGGTACATGTGATTGAACCGAGGATAAGACGTCAGGAACAGCAACTTCGTGAGCGTTGTCAACGAACTTGATCCGACAACTTCGACTTTGAAATAACTTCACAGGTAGCTTCACACCGATCCAAGTTATTTAAAAGCCAAAAAGGTCTTTGTCCCATCAGCGTCTTCATCAACTCAAATATTTAGCCAAGCTATAACTCAAGTTGACTTCGTTTTCGTTCTTCTCCAAAGAGTGGACTGAGGTGTAGGGTAAGAGGTATGCACAGCGCGGTGTTAGCATCCAAAGACGTGAGTACCGGATACATACCTAGGTACATACAGTATCGACATAGAGGGCACGACACTTGAAGTCCAAGGTTTTGTTCTATTGATTCAATAGGCAGTGCCATCTTATGACAAGTCAGACTTTTCCACCTTGGCAAGTCACCTCAGGCAGACTGTCGTTTGTAAGGAGCTCATCGAACCTTATCGAATAGGATCAACATTGTGTATCCACGTGAGCCTTACCGCCGCGTAGGGGATGGTCCTCGCAAAAATCGATATCATTAAACCACTGGGAAGGTAGAAAATCATAACTGATCAATCCAAAAAGAAAGACTCGTTCAAAAAAAGATAATTGGAAGCCCATGGCGAGACTCGCTTTGGATTGGTTAGTCTCTAAGCAAAGTAGAAAGGAGGAATTGAACGTACAACTCGCAATCTTCTGATTAGAAGTCAGACGCGTTAGCCATTACGCCACACGGGCTGTTGATTGTTGGTTTTAATTTTTCACCAAATTTCAAGTACATATTGCCCCGTCACACTTAGCATATGCAGCCGTTTAGATAACTGAAGGATCCCAGTTGTCAATGGTCAACCCACATGCACTGTGCTATTAAAATACTGCTCATCAGGGCTGAACTGATGTCTGGTAAGACGTATTCCCTGTCTAGTGTAACTAAACGCTGGGGTCAGATCATGTTCAGCGGGACCGGACGGAACCCACCATACAGGAGCGCGGAACATCACATGGGATGCTCAACACGCAAAAATCAATATTATAACACTAGTTCGACGACACTACAACTACACACTCACGATACGTTTCATTTCCGTTGCACTCTTTTTTTTTATTATTTCTTTTTTACAATTTTTTATTTTTTTTTAATTTTCTTTTACTGTCCCTTACTTGTTTCCAGTTCTTGTAGGTCTATTGGACATCAAGTTGAAGACGCTCCAACGACAGTCGCACTATCGTTTACCTTAATCAGTACAAGATGTGCCACTTTCAGACAGAACCATAGAAATAGACAGCATGATTCCATAGCTAGGTAATACCTTGAAAAGAAGATCATACCTTAGTATTTCCAAGTGATAGAATGTCCGTGGTTATTAGGCAACTTTCTAGAGTACTGGTTCAATGAAATGGAATATGGGATGTTCGTCGTCGGCCGCCCCACGATATGTCCTTGACAACCACTCCTTCCCAAGTTGTTGCTCATCAACAGGTGCCTTCCCAACTTGCTCCCCATCGAAGATGAGCCCCTTCTTGCCTCAGTCTACGCCTTACTTACCATGCGTCATGTACAGCAACATCCTGTCTCATTGGGTTTTTGTCCTTTCCAACTCGACTCATCAACACCAACAACAGCGACAGCGACAGCAACAGCAACAGCCGCCATGAAGAGAGACCTATCCGAGCTGAAGGCCCTCCCGAAAGATCCTGACCCTTCAAAGGGGAGGATATAACGGATGGCTCCTGGCTAGAGCCGTGCACTGAGGATGGTGTCGAAAACCAGGTCGAGCTAATCCTCCAACTTTTGATGACAATTTACAACTTCGTACAAGCTCAGTACCCAGACAATCTCGCCAACCTTTTTGTACTTGATTATAAGTGCTACTTCCTTTTTGGGGCCATGGCATTGTCTGAAAACCGGGCTCGTTCTTTGCTACTGTTCAGCAAGGTCGGTAGCGTTTCATCATATTATCTCACATCCAAAGCACTTAAAGATTGCAGCAGCTGTTGGTCTAGAGCAGGACGGGTATTATGGGACAGGTTACATTAGAAGAGAGAAGTAAGGTAATTCCATACACTCCAATGAATCATATGTTGATAGATACTACATCTTGGCAAGTTAGATTTCCACAATGTTGTAAGTACTTGAAATCTAATGCAATTAACATCGCTTTCCACAGCAATAATAACTCAAGAGATGCACTTGTAGTAGATGCAATGGTATTATGGGATGACCAAAAGTTATTGCTCGTCGGTCGCTGCACCTTCCCCACGAGATGTTCTGGGTAGGTTCCTTCCCAACTGGGTTGTTGCCTGTCGATGGGATCCTTCCTTCCCCAGACTGCACCTTCCCTACGATGCGTAATACCCAGCAATGTCTTCTCCAGCTCGTGTCCTGTCCTTCCATTGTATTACCATTCTCAACAAGAACAGCAGCAGCAGCAGCAATCACAATGCCTCCCAAGAAACCCGATCTCTCCAAACTTTGGGCCCTCCTGAGAAGGTACCTGGCTCCTCGTGAGCCAGGCCTTCCAGGACGGAGGGCAACCAGACATGCTGTTGAATCAGCGCAGGAGTCCTCCCCCGTCAAAGGGGAGGACGTAACCGATGGCCCTTGGCCAGAATACAGGGCTCCCTCCCCGTCCTAGACGGTTTTTGCCCTTATTATTATTAAAAAAAAAAAAAAAAAAAGGAGTCAATTGGGGTTGGCTTCGCCTCGAATTCAAAAGCTCCTCAGGAGCTGTGCGGTCTCCTTTCCCAGAAGATATCTGGTCCGGTATGTGGCTATTCCCTGCCATCTTCGAGCATGAATTGACCTCAATAGACGACCGCAAGATCGTTCCTTCCTAGACAGCGTTACAGGCGATCCGACAACCTAGCTTTCAATGTCCAACTCCGGACTTCCAAAGGTTCGTTTTCCAATATGCCTGTTCCTTCAAGAGCGTAGACTGATCGACCAGATTTGACAAGCAATGACATGGATACGTCTTCAGCAACCTGCCTCAACTCGACATCAGGTTGACAGACTACTCGAATCCAATCGGCTGTCCTATGAGACTTTGCCTCAGGAGCTTAAGGGGCCACTGACCACAAGAGGCGCTTCGCATCGAATTCAAAGGCCTCTCGACCACAAGAGCCGCTTCGCCTCGAATTCAAAGGCTTCTCGACCACAAGAGCCGCTTCGCCTCGAATTCAAAGGCCTCTCGACCACAAGTCCCATGACAGTTATAAAAAAGGGATGCACCCATAGAGCCGCTCCGATGATAGCCATCTCCAAGCCCAGTCATCCTAAAGCAACCTCTATTACAGACGGGTGTCGCAGAACCCTCGACGACAGCCGCCTCCGCCGATAGTCAGTAACCCTTAGACCAAGGGCTATCACGCCCAGCGCTTCGCCTCCAATTCAGTAGCTGCCTCAACTCCGCTGCCAATGACAAATATTGAAAAGGGTACCCCAGCACAGCCGTACCAACACCCCCAGCAGCTACTGTCCGGTCCCTTTCGGCATCTTCGGTGCTATGGCTGCTTCAGTCACTTGACCTTTTATCATGAGTCCCGTGGCCACGGGCCAAATTGGACTGCCTTGGACACGCACATGGAGCTTGGTCATCATGGAAGACCCTAGCACCAAGTGGCTATCTGTCTATGGTATGTTTGCCCGATGAAGGCTGTCGCGTTGCTAGCGTCTTTCCTACTGACTTAAGATTAATAGGTGAACCCTTTTTAGGAACTGTTGTACTGCTTGCCGACCAACTGGTGGCGGAGTGACCTTAAGTCTCGTTTGTGAGATTTCTTCTGGTGGAAGTTGTCCAAAACTGATGTAGGTTGAAGGGCAGTAGACTGTTTGTTGATTCCTTGGCGTGACATGGTTGATTGATGGGTATTGGCTAAACTATAAAGAGAAGGAATTGGCAGTTAAGAGTAAAAGTCAGCTTGGGATGGTCTTGTTCTGTTAAGAGTTAAGAAGTAATCATATCTGATTATATGACTTCCTGTTGGGATTGGCTAACTTGCTTGTCTTGTAAGTTGTTGGTGGGGGTAGTTATAGGAGGAAGGAAGGAAGGAAGGAAGGAAGGGAAGGCTTATGTGCCTTACACAGCAGCCTTATATGCGCGTCAGTCGCTGTGTTGGCGATATTCAGAGTTCAGTGGCTGTAGGGGCCACCAATGAATGAGCTGCATTTTGACCTGCTGGATGGGCCAGATTTTAAGTCGGAGAGAATAGATGAAGAATGACTTCCTATTGTGCGCTCCTGTAATTGCTTACCTAGGTACTGAAGCGTCCGTATGCAAAGAAGCCTCGGGCACGACAAGAAAGAAGGGGATGGAAACGAAACAAACGATTCTAAGACGGGTTGAGAATACAATGTTCTAATATTGTAGGAGTCAGATAGTCAGCTCCCCCTCCCCCCCCTCCGATGACTTTGGGAAGCCATGTAAGCAGCTACATCTGTATTGAAAAGAAAAGGCTTATCCGCCTTTCTACTCGCCGGACATGTGCTTAAACGAGCAGTATCCATGAACAGTACATATGATTCAAGCAAGCACTAATATAGATATATAGTTGAGTATAACTTAGGGTTCGACTACTTCTTACACTTTTCTCTAACCAACGTCCTCCAATTTCGCTTTTCTTTCTAATCATGTTGGTACGGAAGGACGCCAGAGGGAATCTCCTTACGCACATGGGGATACAAGGCCAGCACAGTAGTCCATGGTGCAGTGTGGCTCTACCCATACGAATTCGTGCAAGCCAAAACTATGACCAGGTACTCAACCATTGAGAGTCGGCTAATATTACTACCTTTACTAACGGATAATTGTGCTCGGTGGTGATGTTTGTTCCGAGATATCACAGCCATGGGACTGGCGCCTATTGTGTCAATTGTTCAAGTAGCGATTTCGGAGGTGAAGCAGATGGTCTGGGATGATCTGCTAGGAGTTATTAGCAAATACATACATTATTGAAAGGATTTTGTGCAACCCAGAACAGAAACACCAAGTGTGACAAGTGCATGCTTATCCCGTAAGTGTAACGCATTGGCATTAATTATGTACTTCATCTTGTTGTCTACTTCATTATTTGCCCATTTTAATTCCCGAATAAAGTCCATAATATTGTCCTAACATACGATTGCAGCAATTCTCGCTAATAGGTTGAAAATTCTCGCTTTCCGACCGGGCATCAACACGGAAACAACGACGACACAGAACAAGCATCACGCGATGAAGCAATCTTCGTTAATGGGTTGAAAATTCTCGCTTTCCGGCCGGGCATTAACAAACAAGCGATATAACTCCCTGGGATAAACATCCCGTGAGGTTGTACCCGAACTAGATAGAAACCATGTATAACAAAAGGTTTGTCTAACTTTCTACAATAGGTAAATGCTTGGTCTGCAGGTTATAATGGAATGCAATGAACATGAGGTTTCGTGGAGTATTGAATGGTATGTATCTGTATGTATCTGTATGAGTTGTCTAGGAGATATGTCGTACTTTGATATACTTAATATTGGTTGCAGCAACATACTAGCTTTGCAGTAAATGATTTTACGGTAGTACTTGTGACTACTGTAAACATTTACTCTACTGATTGATGCAATACTCTGTGCGTGGTCTGTTTCTTTTGAGTTAGATTGAAAACATGCTCTTCTTTCACTGTTGCGGTTCATTCGTAGCACCTCCTTGCGACTGGTCATGCAAACATTATATGTTTGATGCTTCAATTCAGTATTGACATACTC